GGAAAAATCATTATCCTCTTGTAGTTTTTTGTCCATCATACACGAAAAAATTAAGATAAATTAAACAGAATAATTTATAGGAACTAAAATGCATTGAATTGATTTAATACAAGAAGTAATGTAGAAAGCTTTAACACTTAAATGAAAAAAATTTGTATTATACTATTATAGCTACTTAGCATGGAAAATGTTCATGCATTAAGAGAGTTTTCCGTCTCATTTATAGGAAAAATCATTATTCTGTTATACATAGTGTTTTGTCCATGATACAGGAATAAATTAAGATAAAATTAATCAGAATGATTTACAGGAACTGAAATGCATTGAATTGATTTAATACAAGAAGTAATGTAGGAAGCTTTTACACTAAAACGAAAAACAATTTGTATTGTTCTATTATAGCTAAATTGCATGGCTAAAATATTAATTTTAGCTAGGTAAAGAGCTAATGGCAGCTTAGGTGAAGTCAGCTGGTTTTCTATTTTTAATATTGCAGCAGACGCTATGTGGGTAGTATTCTCAGAAGTCTTTCATTTATTCGAACTCGCGGTGAAGGCGAAATAAAATTTATCCATTTAGTTCTTTTGAACGGACGGAAACAAGGGAAGACAAACATCAACTGGTGGTTCAATATAATTTTATAATCATATTTGAACTAGAATTACAAACAAACGACATTTGAATTTAAATTAAATACAATTTCATGCGTTTTTCAAACGGGAGGTCTTCTTTGTTGACACAAATTATTGTAAGTTATAAGGTACTCAGAAGTCCAAAAATCGAGTTAGCCACAGTTGCCCACTTCATTGTTGACACAATCTATTGTAAGTTATAAGGTACTCAGAAATCGGAAAATCAAGTAAGCCAAAGCTGTTTGTAATTCAGACAAGATAGGATTTTCGAAAACAAAGAAATTAATGTAATGAAAATAAATAAGTCTTTAAAAAAGAAAACAATTAAAAAAGTATTGGTCGCCATAGCTACCCAAAAAATAATACAAAGAAACAAACAAAGAAGGAAAACAATCCTCACATAATCCTCACGTGGATGGTAACCGTCGCGTTGATTTTTTTACTACGGGAGTATTTGTTAAGGGTTACAAACTATTGCATCATTATAACGCACAATATTTTAAGCAAGAAGAGAAAAAAAGAAAATGCGGTAATTCTTTTGCTCTGCACTTCAGAAGTTTTCAAAAACATGAAGTCCACTATCCAAAACCCCAAAAACAAATGTGAGATTTTGACTTCAATGTGTTGTCACTTGCATCGCTTTTTCAAAATGTTATGCTGATTTGTTTGTTTACAGGTCTACCGATTTCGGTTTTAGAACGCTTGGATTGATGCATGTAGTAGATTATAATCTAGAGTTGCATGAAGATGGCCTCAGACAGCCTATACAACCCATTTAGATTAACATAATCAAAGTGAAAGCCTCATCCTGTGTTTTAGGGACCACTCCCACAGATATTTGGATCGATCTATCTCCACGGGGAGCTCTCTAAATTGCTATCTGCCATGGGCGAGGCCGAGCATGCAAGAAAGTTAATTACCCCCTTGCTGATTCGATAGGCGTGACAGACATTTAAGCCTCTTAAGCTGAAAGCAATTTAGCGTGAACCCCCAGGGAGTTAGGTCGATCCAGATGGATCGATCTAGGCATGGGAACCCAGTCTTTGAATGCACTAGTCTCTGTCGATACTGGAAACGGGTGGAAAGCATAGCTTAATAAAATGAATCTAAAGGATGTATGCCATTAGCAACAGTTTTTAATTAGTTTGCGCTTCTTTAACGTTTTGCAATGGCTTCATTACCGATTGTAAGGGCAACTTAACGCTGAATCTCAACATCTGATTTGATTGCATTTAAGTATGTCTTCCATTCCATGTTTTAAGGTTTTTAACTTCAGTCCTAAATAAAACCGCATGGTTCTTTGTTGACATAAATTAGCATTCCTTTACCTAGGCATCGGAGTGGAAATTAAGGAGTTTGAAACAGTGTTTAATGGAGTTTAAAAACAGTGGAATGAGTATTTAAATTGACCGTGAAATATAACCACCCTCGCACGCTACGCTGGTCTATCTTTAAGATAAATGCCAGCGTTCACTGAAACGCCCTTCTTCGTTATCTTGAATCCCTCACTCGTTCGGTATATAAGGTCAAGTCAGGGGTGCAAATTTAAAATGAAGTTCCAAGAAAGTTCAGTTTTCAAGGCGCATTGCTCTTTTCATCAATAAACTGCCTTCGGTTATTCAGTTTGAGAAAAGGACACAGTCATTTTTGATTTAATGAAAATCCACGTGTTGTTACTTGAAAATAAATCTGGCATCTTATACAGGAAAAGGACTCGGGGAAGGGGGTGCTTCCAGATCAATTATTTTCATGCCGTTTTTATTAGTTTTTCTGACACTTAGACTGGGTTCCTATCCCTAGATCGGTCTAACAGGTTCGGACCATCTCCATGGGGTTTCTCGCTAAATTGCTTTCATCTTAAGTGGCTTAGATGTCCGGGACGCCTACTTAAGCTGCTAAACGATAGTTAGTTACTATCTATCAGCTTCAGTGGATGTGACAGACATCTAAGCCGTTCAAGTTAATTGCAATTAAGTGAGAGTCCCCTTGGTCAATCTTAAGTTAGTACGATAGTCTCTGGGAATGGTCTCTAATACAAATTTCAATGTTATAGACTGCATTCCCACAGATTTTAGATCGATCTATTCCCCTGGGGAGTCTCACTAGATTGGTGTCAGATTAACCGACTTAAATGTCTGTCCCGCATACTAAAAGGGGTAATTAACTATAGTGCGCGCTCGGCTGACAGCAATCTAGCGTGAACCCCCAGGGAGTCAGGTCGATCCAGATGGATCGATCTAAATCTATGGGAATGCAGTCATAGTAAATGATCAATACATTGTTTGGTTTACAAGTGAAGTTGGGAACATTTTGTATAAAAAATGGAGAATTTGCCAGGGACAGCAATGCAGGCCGAAGAGGCTAGTAGACAGGTGAAGTACATATTAAGCAAGGACTCTCGGTACTCATTACAATATTTTTGATTTACAGTGCACATTTCATGATATTACAATGAGGCACTCCATTTTAGACGATGTAATTCGAAAAGCACGTCAAAGATCCTGGTCGTGACTAAGGGACTATTCCCACAGATATTTGAATCGATCTATCTCCCTGGGGAGTCTTACTAAATTGCTATCAACGTAACCAGCTTAAATGTCTCTCACGCCTGGTAAAGCTGTTACGTGGTAATTATTTTTACCACCTAGCTGATTCGGTAGGCGTGACAGACATTTAAGCCGGTTAAGTTGATAGCAATTTAGTAAGACTCCCCAGGGAGTTTGACCAATCCAGATGGATCGAACTAGGCATGGGAACCCAGTCTAAAATGTAATTTTTTTGCGAGGTGCAATCATTCAGGTTTGTGATCAAATGATTATAGACATTTTGAGGTTTACGCATATTAAAAATGTCTTTTATGCATATTTGTGTGCATGCGTTTCAAAGTTGTTTGAAATCAAGGTAGGTTCTAACTCACCAAGGTGAAATTTCGTCAAGGTTAAATTAAAATGAAAATATACAAATTACTCAATTGCATATCTGTAAAGTTTAGTGCCCAGAACTGTATCTCTAATTACTTTCTCAGTAGCCGGACCTTTTTATTACAAGACTCAGGCGATATACTTGCCCCACCCACACACACACACCTATTGTCTTAGGAAAGGTACCTGGATAGCCACATTCCCTGATGAAGATGTTCTGCTAGACATTAAAATATTGCAGCTAAAAACTATTTCAATATGAAGCTCTTGACTGAAAAAAAATTACTTCTAACATAACACAGCTGATGAAATTCTTCTCTGAACAGCAAAAGTTTGTTTTAAAGATTCTTTAGAAATTCTCCTATGGACGTTTTAGGGACCATGCCCAGACCCTATCGTACTAACTGTGGATCGATCTTTCGTCGAGGGGATTCTCGCTAAATTGCAATCAACTTAAGCGTCTTAGATGTCTGCGACGCCGACTGAAGCTGCTAGAGGGTAATTAATTATCGTTTAGCAGCTTCAGTAGGCTTGCCAGACATCTAAGCCGCTTAAGCTGAAAGCAATTTAGCGAGGAACTCCTCGGAGATGGATCGATCCTGTTAGATCGATCTAGGTATGGGAACCCAGTCTTGTTGATGAAATAACGTAAACCTTAAAAATCAGTTGGAAACTGGCACGAGTATACATATTTGCACTACCTAGAACTAATAGATAAGCAGTAAGGTCTTTTCCATTTCAGTATTCCCCAGTCGGAACTCCAATCTCATTCTCGTTTGGGTAGATTTGGAATACAACTGGATGCCAATCTTTGACTGTGATATTCATATTTAATTTGAGATTTAAAGCTTAGCAATTTTATCCGCAGCGGTGGTCCGACACCGGAATAGTCGAAACTAATCAAAATGTAGAAATTACAAATTGTTGACATTTATTTTGTTTCAATGCAAACAAAAAAGTTCGTGCCTACTGTTAATATGTTATACATTCAACGCTTATGAAGGAAATTAATTTAATATAAGGAGTAAATAATGCTTGTTCCGCACCACTAAGTTCTTTGCTCTTGATGAACAAAGAAAATACCGGCACAAGCATTATAAACCGCATTTTACGACGAAACGATAAATATATTAGTTACATAATGCAAATCAAAGATAATTTGTATGGTCGAGACATATATAGTTCATCAAACAAATGCGACATTGTCCTTTTCACAGTAATATTCTATGAAATAATTGGAATCCTTTCAAAATCCATGTACGTTAATGAAAAAGTCCATTTTCTTCACTATCAAGAGTGCGCTGTTTGAGTGATGGAGCTGACATACAGATAAGGCATACAGCCGTAGAATTAATTTAAAAGTTGGAGCTTGTAAAGTTCATACTAATGAAAAAAGGGACCAATTCACACCACTGACGCGTCAGTCTAACCCTTCGAAATCCTTCAGTCACACCCCAGAGACGCTGTTGGAGCTTTTTTTCGCGACCCCCAGTTTAAGTCCAGTGATGTCCGTGTCCATGACGACTTTGGTCTTTGTCAGCACTGACATTGAAGTGAGACTGGACGACCGACTGTCGAAGCGAGTCCTCCGAGAAGACTGCCCGTAACTTGAAGTAGGCAGCGGGTGAAAGCCCGCGTCAGCGGCGGTTCGGTTGCAGTTGTGAGAGCTCGCGCGCTGGGAGCTTTTCGACGGACAAGGCAGGATTTGTCGAATAAGATTACTATTAAATATCAAATAAATCCATGGATTGCAGCAGCTGTTCAAGCTAGCTAATAGGATGATTACCACGAAAGCAGCATCTGGAAAAAGACGCATGTCGTTATGTCCTGATTTTGAGGGGATATTAAAGTGTAAAAACACCAAAAATTATTAAACATGTAGACTTGGGACGATTGCAGACACTAAATAACTTATTATGATTATACACCCTTATTTGATTTAAACTCAATAAGCTATGTTATGCCTTTACCAGGGAATATCGACGAATAACACCATTTTATAAATAACTAAACAAATTAAATAAAAGTAAAACCTAAATAATCATTTGGGTGAAAATGCAATACCTCCCTCAGGCGCTGTTTCATCATACAACCACCATAACTGAATTACAAAAAATGGTGTCCAGCAGGCAACATAGGCGATGATAATGGTAAAAGTTAATTTAATCGTTTTGACCTTGGCCCGAGATAGCCTCGTTCTGCCGTGTGCTCTAGGGGTGGTTGTATCATCATCCTCATTCCCCGAAGGAATCGAAGAAGGACAATTAAATGTCACAGCTGCAGTGCCAGAGTTCCTGCTGCCGGTGCTGAGTCTTCCTGAAGGGTTGCCCCATACCTCCCAGCAAATACGTCCGTATACAAATATCAGAATAACCAAGGGGATAAAAAAGAGTAGAATGGCAAATGTGGTTATGTACGCCTTTAGCACCCATGGTGGGAGAAATTCGTAGATGTGAGTACAGTCGTATATTCCACAACCATACGGGGAGACCTCCCTATAACTGAACAGGGCTAATTGTGGAGCACTGACTAAAGCCGCCAGTCCCCACGCAATGCCTATCATAGTGTTAACCTTTCTTGTGCTCCAAGCGTAGTTCGACAGAGGATGGCAAATGGCGTAGTATCTGTCCACCCCTGTCATCACCAAGACGTAACACGACAAATATAGCACAAACACTTGAAAGTACTTGACAATTCGACAAAGGCCGTCATTACTGACTTGGAACCTGAATGTAATGTCCGTCGCCAATTGGGGCAGTATGTTCCACACGGCCACCAAGAGATCAGAAATACTCAGATGCATGATAAAGTAATGCATGCGAGAGAGTTTCTTCTTGTACAGGTACAGCGCCACCAGAACGCACACATTCCCAAATATGGCCATAAAAAACACAGCACCGAGGACGCCAATTTCCGTTCTGACGAGCCATTCTACTCGAACCGGTACGCTGCAATTCGTCGCATTCAGAGAAGTAATGTTCAAAATTGGCGCTGCAACAGGTTCCTTGGCAGTTGGTAATAGCGCAGCACCCTCTTGGCCCGCGTTGGATGTAAGAAAAGTCGTTGTAGTTATAGTATCCATCTTTGTCTTCAGAGAGCTCAGATGCAATTTGGAAGAAGGCTTGAGTAGACTGGTGCTATGGAAGATAAAAAGTGTATAATTAGTACAATCAGTGCTTCATTTTTGTAAACATCCCATTAAAACGAAACCGTTTTCAATTTGAAAAGCAAAAATAAAACCAAAATGTACCAATTTGAACGCTCCCTAAGAGTCATTTACCCTGAAATAATTCACTTTGTCCTGGCAAATGTTTGACTCAGAGTGAAAAATTAAAACATCAGATACTACATGCGATTGGACATATAATTTTCCGAGAAATCTCTATCAATAAGAAAAGACCATTCCCCTATGACTTCCAAACGCTCCTATCTCATACACAATTCTGATACCGTCTTTGGAACGAATATCCCTGATGAATGTAACTTTATGTGTCCGTCTTAATTTCTTGTGGTTATCATTCCAAGTGCCAAGCAATCGTCTCTAGAACAACTCTGACCTTCGGTTCCAGACGGCAAGCTCTTCAGCAAAATGTCACGCGCTTTATACTCTGCCGCCATCGAGAAATATATTTTTTTCATTAAAAAACTGTTAACGAGCATTTTTCATGGCGCTCCTGCCATATTTAGAAAGAGAGTTCAGGGGGAAATGGGGCGTATAACAATGTGTCTCAAGATTAATGAGATGGTTGAAAGGAGGTATAGGGTAGATACTAATGAAGCTATCTGAAAGCAAAAGGAAATTATAGGCTATTATCGCAAAACAACATAAAACAAAAAATAGCCATGATTCTGTAACTTGCGGGCAAATGATTGTTTTTCTTCTTAGGTGGCAACGTAAGTGCTCAAGCCTACGGTGGCTAATAGGCCCACCGTCTTATCAAAACCTATACTACAGTTATTCTTGAAGAGAAATTTCAAAAATCTACTATAAAATCAATTACGATTGGAGCAGATCGGCATCAGTGAGATCAAAAATGTATTCTCATGTTACCATGGTAATACATTTTTGGTCAGATTTGTATACAGGGACACTTAGCAAAGAAGCAACCTTGTTCGTGGGACACACTGAGCATGCTTGACTTATGGGATGGGAAACCATGTAAAAATCAAGTAAACCAGATCCCTCACTTAAATGAGAGTATCATTCGAAGCACCCCTTTGTCTATTACGTTTCCTGTAATAAGTTAAATCACATTAAAAGAAGCATTCAATTTGAATTAGAAAAAATTACGTGGTTACGCCTATGGTTATTTCAAAATTCATCAGATAGTACGTAGCAACAGATGTGGATCTTATACAATTATGCGAAAGAAAGGCTGATGATGCACCTCATCTGTTGCAATCCACGTATTTAGAGCAATTTTGACGGCCGAATCCATAATTACGTTTTAACACCACTTTTTTTACGCTTAAGACGCATAACCGTGTAGATGGCACGAAGCCCTGAGGTAGCTCTTGCAGAGTCGTTTGAAGAAACCGACAAACAAGAGATGATCTGATAAAAAGGCAACTTTAGATAATTGCAGACTCTGCAGAAATTCACTTTATGGTCGACAGAAGTTTGCGCCGCGGGATTTTCGCGGAAGTATTTAGTACTAGTTTACCGATAGGTGCAACAGAGTAAACATGGCTTTATGTTCGACCCATTAAGTTTCCGCAAAGTATCCGAGTGCATAAATTTAGTTTGAACTTAAGAAAACACACACATGCTGATAATGGTAGTAAGTGATGTTCTGAACATGCAGGCCTTACGCCGTACCCAATATAACCGGAAAAGGTCGGCCTATTTGAGCAATATTTCATCAAACCTTAAATCAATTTGGGTTTGATCTTGAATTACAAATCATATGGTTAACAGATACGATCACTGCCCGCCACTCAGATCTCACACAAACTGCTTCAAAATTCTCTTTGTTCGCTGGCAGAGCTCCATGACTCAAACTGTAAAAGAAATTTGGGTTCTTTTGATTGGTTTCTGTTTTATAAGGGTAAACGGAATTTAAAAACACGGAGTCATTTTGATTTATGGTAGATAAAGATCGATGGTTTCGTGTTGCAAATAATTAGCTCATGTGCTCACGATCTCTGTTTTTCATTACCACATAATCTGTCTTATTTTCTTTATACGACGTATTTCTTTTCGGCATTACTTTGTAGGCAGCATGGTACTATGATGATTAATTGTATGAATACTGATTATACGGGGATATAGACAAAAAATGGAAAAAACTAATCGGATACCAGATTTTTTTAATGTACCAAATTCCTTAATTTTTCACCCACCAAAATGTCAGTTGACAAACGACGTTCTGTACAACTGCACTTGTATGAAACGTTATATACGTTTTATCAAAATGATACAATTCTGAAATTCGTACTTTTCAGTTTAACACATGGAGAAATTTGAATAAAATATCGATGTCGTTGGTGTCACCCTAAATTTCACTGTTAAAACTTGAAAATCTTTTTAAGTTAGATTGTCAAACACACACCTTCGCACTTTGTTATAGAAACGCAATAATGACTGAGATTTTTGGAATCACGGTATTCATTTATTTATTTATTTATTTTTGTGCCCTTAACATATGTGATGGACTGTGATGGAATAAAATTTTCCTCTTAGGCTCAGAAATTTAATAGCATCTTTGTACGTGTAATCGCTGGAGTAGATATTTCAGTCAGCTTTATATCAAGGTCACGCTGTCACGATTATGACAAGGATGCGCAATGACTTATCTAGAATTACTGAACCGTTATGAGTCCTGGTAATTGGCTCAACCAGATGGAGTTGCTACGATTTCATGCCATTTCCTCAGACATCCAGGTATGGCGATCTCTGACAACATCACCAAACAAAGGATAAACTCGTTTATTACCATGCATCATGACGCATTCCTATAATATCATGAGGTAAGAGAAGAGGTGATTAGAGCGACAATTCAATAGCTAACACGTGTTAGTCCGACCACACATAAAAGCGTTACCAATTCGATAAAAAAGCATCCCTTATTTTCAGGGTTTAATAGACCTTCACCTCATTCCAGTTATCAGCAGGGACCGGTGTAACGTGACAGAGAGCCCCCCATAACAGAGAGTCCGCTGCCCATTTATTTGTACAGGTGAGCCTCGCCCTAGATTTTGACCTACTTAGGTCAGGCTAACCCTAACCATTGTAACTATATGGAGGGCGGACTTTCTGTTACACGGACCCTCAGTTTCGTTACACCGGTTTTCCAAAACATTTTATAGACGGGAAACGGTCCCAGTTTTATATCTCAGATTTAGTCTTCGTTATTTCAAGATAAATCCACAGTAGTTCAATTAGATAAAATGAGTGTTGGTTTGAAACTTTAGATACATATGTTTCTCCTGTAATGAAAGGCGTAAAATATTTCATTTGATTGGACTTTTACAATGAATGATTTATTCTGGGTCAAATCACCCTAAAATTCTTGGTATAACAGTTTAAACCTGTTTTTCCGACTAAAGCTATTGTGAAACAAGTCCCAAAAGAGAATTTTCAAAATATTTTTAAACTCGGGATGAGTTAAATTAGAATAGAGGAGAATTTTCACAATTCGGCCAATGCACGTGCGGTGGCAGCACGTGTAAATACGTGATTGTATTTTTGTCTCACAAACAACTTGTTCATGAACCACGGACGTTTTCTACCCTCCACCGGAACTACAAAATGATTATTCACAAAATGATTTTTCATAAGATGACCACAAATATGTCTCTGGCTAATTCTTGACAGTTTTTTTTCTACTGAAGTGAGAATTTTGCATGGAATTTATGCCATCAATCGGCTAGCCTCTAACGTACATATACAGAACACGTTGTTTAAGAGTAAAAAAAAAAATTAATTTAAAGAATGTAAAGTTGCCAGAGTATGATACTCATCTAATAGTAACACTTTTTGCTTTTTTTTTGTTTTTTCTTGTGCATCTTACCATTTTCATCAATAACTTTCGAACATGTCCATACAACATTTCCAAATATCGAGATATCCTCTCATTTTGCTTGTTCCTCCAATGTTCCTAAATGGAACATCAAATTGCTTGTTCCTCCAATATTCCTAAATGGAATATCAAAGATAAAGGGGGTTTAAAAGCAAATATCTGCTCGTATCGATGCGCGTTTGATATATATCTGATCACTGGGTTCATTGAAATTTCATGATCGTTCAAGCGTGACAAATCGTAATTTGTTCGGGTTATTGGCAAAGCAGGCTTAGGCGTGTACTGATTAGGGCAAGCATCTAAGTGAAATAAACTGTTTACCTCTTGCCATTTAAGTGGCAGTTATCGAAGTGTCCGTTTGTGGTTTTGCGAATTTTAATCATTTACTTTTGCGTGCTCTCAAAGAGACGAGATGCATGTGTATTACTTTTGAAATTGCGCGGTTTTCGTTCTTATAGTGGCACATATGATATAAATAATGATTAATATGCAACAAAGTAAAAGGAATAAATGTTCATCCTCTTTGGTCCCTAACAGATGAACCTTTTTCCTTTAAAAATTGTGAGCCAATAGTAGCTTGGAGGCAAGATCAGCATTAAGATCAGCGTACATATGACCCTGTGGTTGTTAGAAGCTATTGTTTCAGAAAAATTTATAGTAACGGGGTATATACTTGAGCTGCAACATTTCGTCGTCCTTTTACCCAATTTTAAGAAGCAAGTTTGGGAATATCGGCTACAGCTTTACTTCAACCTATTGAATAGCTCCGTTATTATTGTTTACTATCATGCCGCATACAGTGTATCAAAATTATCCTCTTCATTTCTTTGGTTAGTCAGCATGATTTTCGATTAGAAAAAAGAAACGAGGTCATTATCTACAATAACAGACAAGCTACTACTAGTATACCTCTTAATAAAGCAGCAAACATATTATCTAGCTAGTGCGTGGGCACGATTTTGAGAATGATGGCAACGTACACTTCGGGATCATTTCGCTGTTTGTGACCCCGCTTCGCGCGGTGCATTTTCACAGCAACGAACTCCAGAGTGCATCCTAACTTGCCTACCCTGCTGGGCTCATATTATGTGAACAGGCTTTGTTATTATGGAAGTTGATTACAATCGGTGATGGAGGACTGCTTAGCCATAATGTGAACCAGGGATGGGTTGAATGCAATCGAGGCAAGTTTCCCCGAATTAAAGCTAGTGTGGTTATATAATAAATGCAGCCTTGTTTGGCCAAATATCGAACAACCAATATTCTTTGTTCCCTTCTTTCTTGTTTTGAATGGGATTATGAAAGTTTGTGGTGCACTAGGAAGGAGGAGACATAAAGCAGATATTAACAGCCTTAAATGAACACTTCAGATGAAAAAATCATACAATTACGATTCACGGGACCAGAGTCTTATGCCTAATATCCAATCTGTCATGCCAGGTTGCCATGTCGAATTTGCATCGATATTCTTCACGGATTTTCATCCATGAGACGTATTCTCTGCGAGACACAGACGCGCAGCCGGCGTCTCTGATGGTTCTTATTAAAAAACTCCGAGGGAGTTATTTTCACCGGTTTAATCAGGATAATATATGGACATTTATTCTTTAGAAATTGCATTCTCAAAATGACAACATTGGTAGTAACGCTGATTTAAGTTTTTTTTTAATTCATAGAGTTGAAAACTCTTCGTCACATTTTGTAGAGGCTAAGAGCTTCACATCGTCTTGCAAGTCACAGTGTACGAAAAATAAAATCTATAGTAATGGAATGCAACATTTCGCAATGGACTAATTGACGAAGGAATGCAAGTTCCTATTAACGCAAGCTCATTTTTCGTACTACAGAAGAGGAAATTAGGCGTGTCCGTGTGAATAGATATATCGTTTCCAAGGCCTACAGTCTCTTTGGGGATAAAAGATAATTTAAAAGGAATTAAAAGAAACTATTGAAAGGCTTAATGAAAGAATTCTGCTCTAAACGCGTTACCAGGAAGTAACCGTGGCGTTCGTCGAAACAATCTGTAAATTCTGACGTAGTACCTGCGTTCCGGAAGACAATGCGTGCTGTTTCACCCATTTATGCCCGTGCTAGAAAAGTGTGGTTATTTTTCTTGATGTCGAAAATAGTACAAATACTTGCTCAACATGTGCATCAACGCAATACCCCAGTGTTCGCTTTCCGGCTGTCCCTGTATAAGTAACTGTCGCCACTGTGCTGCAAGCTGAGTTCCCATTCATTTGAGAATTTGACTATTCAAACCAGTAAAAGCATTCGCCCACAGTGAAGGGGCTGTAAGGCACACCGCAATCATTTAAATCACATTAAAAGAAAAAAGTGAAAAAGTTATCTTGGCCCTAAAGAATGAAATAGCCAATAACAAGGAAGCGCTAATGTTACATGATTGCAAACAGCAACGCGGCTCAAATTCAACCAAGACTAACCGCAAATATGGAACGTGCAGGATAGAGGTTCTTGAATTTTGTGAAATTCCTTTATTCAAATAATCTCGTCAAGCAACCCTATCAGGACTTCGAAAATACAAAAAACACCGGAAGGCTGATGGAAAATGCAAAGAAGCATGCCAAAGTAACGAGGTGCACAAGCATCGAGACGAATACTTGAAACTCTGTTGGGCGCAAACATGGAGAGGGGGAGAGAACAGTTATGGTGTCTCGGGTTCTGACGCCTGGTCTATGTTGACTCTGGCTTGCGTGCACTCTGTCATATTATAAGACCACTTAGAAAGAGACGTAAGAGAAGGTCATATTGTGTAACCCACCCAAGTATATCTAAGCATTGTTTTTGTGATCTTACATCGGTGAATAAAAACAGCTACTGAAAATAATATAGACAAAACATCAAATCGGTAAACAAACTTTAAGTGTTTTTAACTGGGTTGGATTGTACGTAATGTTTTGAGTTCATAATAAGGATGTTTTGAAAGAAAAATACACGGTTCTCTTTCTCACCCGCATTTGCGGTCTCCGTCAAAGTTACAGAATTGTTTAATTGAGGCAACTGAGCGTATTACCTTTTTCGTTCCGAACAACTAATAAAGGTTTTCATCGGTTTATCAAAATGACTACGCAATAGTAACTACATGTAATTCGTAACAGCTTCACCTTGTATCATTCACAATTTTGATATATTCTTTTTACATTGAGATCCCCATGAAATTCAGAAAATGGAAATTTACCACTTAATCGGTTATTCTTTGTATCAAACAATATCCTCTAATAGCTTATGGCCCTTCATCATTATACTTACCTTCATTAGAAATTTGCACATCAATTTTTCGGAAGGTCACTCCTGCTTCTCGCCTCCTTGTGTCTTTTTGGTGTAAAAAACATATTATACAGATTGCACTTGAATTTTGTCGATGCAATCTATTAAATGGCTAAAAATCACCCCGTTAGGCCTACCTCTTGGGCTTAGCTGCAAGTAGAAATTCTCAACAAGTTGCTTCCTTTTCCCCCGGCCGGTGCAATTATTAGAGACATGGCCAACAGGATTGCTTTCACTGTGTCAGTTTCAATTCAAAGCAAAATGGACTGATCCCCTAGTTGGGTTTTAAGATTTTTAGCTCCAGCCTTCCATTCTGTGTAGTTGTATCTGAGGACAGGCCGCCTTAACTGCACCGCAATAACGACGGCGTAACGCCCGAGGCTGCAACACTTTACTTCACCGAGATCGAGTGACTTCAGATTGACTGCTGCACTTATTGAATTTTGAAGCAAGTAATCGTCCATGTAATCGGTTAAGAACACGCTGTTTTGTCGACGATATGCAGACAAACATGTTTTTTTTTCTTTCGGATAAATTCAAATGTGATACTATCTATGTGCTTTTCGGATTTCTCTTTAAGTGTATGCAATAAAACTTGTCTTAACCTAATAATGCGCCATTTTCAGGAGAAAAGCGCCGGGGTTTGGTTCAAACGGCAGGGCACATGTGGCCTTCTTCCATTACGACTAGAAATTAAATTTTGGCAAAATGCAATATTATGTCTGTATGCACTGAGATAATCAGCCAAACCGTCTCAGGCGAGTGCTTAACCGGGTCTGCTGAACAATTATTCATTTAACCTGCGGTCATCGGTCGGATATATAAGAACCGCAGGAATAATGAATCGGATCTTTAAAAAATATATTTTGTCTCTATTGATTGGCATCGCCATTGGAGTTAGTCTGAGTTCGGAGTAAGTCCAAGCTCGGCACACGCATAATACTCACCTGATGGTTATAACTGAGCAACTTCCGCGTCGTATCACAAAGAAAAATAAATGAAACACTGAAATAATAAATACTTAGCTCAGCGTTCGCTTTTATTTAGATTTCATCTCATGCTGATAAGCAGATGCAAAACAATCAACTTGTATGATATTGCACAACTACTACGGCGCATCCCCCAGTTGTGAACCAAGCCATTAAGCAAAAATACATTCTGTTGTTTTTTATCATTAGTCATTGGACGTATTAACTTTTTTGACACACCGTATAATTCAGCTTGCGAGACAAAATCATTTATTGGGACTTACGTTCCCCATGTCACCTGTGAGTATCGATTCTTTAATTCCATACCATGTAACATACTCAGGTATAATAAAATGAACATGGTAAACGTACAAATTTCCCGTCATTCTATTCTCATGTCAGGCTTTCTTGATATACAGATGTATGTCGAACTCTCGCAAAATTCTGTCATAAATTCAACCTTTGTTTCTTTGTTTTATTTCTTTTTACCAGGTTGGGAGAGCCAATATAAAAATTAACCGCCTATAGAATTAAACTACACGCTGTAGATAACAACTGTTGTTCCTAATCCCATGCATTTGCAATACCACAGAATAGATAAAACATGGCTTGTGCCGTTCTTACAGTAGCCCCGAGTAATGTATAGCTTTGTCGGGAAGCTACATGTACATGTATGCCCATCATGTTGTATTTCTAGTTCCATCATCTCACCCTGTCTTTCACGGGGTACTGGTAAACTTACCTGTCTACCACCGGCATGAGCCTGCAGTGTCTGGAAACGGCAGAGTCACGTTGACAGTAGAAAGGTGTGTTCCCAGCGCCCTCTGAAACTCCGGGTAGGCTCATCCTGTCGTTAATTTACAACGTGTTGATATTCTGGCATGAGTCTATCTCGTGATTGATAGACGTGATGGACAGAATGTGTAGCCTTACGTTCACATTTGGATCTTTGGAAAGGATTAGATCCTGAGCTAGATCAGTGGCTCACTCTAAGGGTGCTTTCAGATTCAAACGTCGTACTAACTGGGTCGGCCCAATTCTGCGGGGGAATCTTGCTGTTTAAGTGCAAACAGTGGAATNTTTGAAATTGCTGGCAACGGGCCTGTTGACAGGTATAATAAAATGAACATGGTAAACGTACACATTTCCCGTCATTCTATTCTCATATCAGACTTTCTTGATATACACACGTGTGTCGAACTCTCGCAAAATTCTGTCATAAATTCAACCTTTGTTTCTTTATTTTATTTCTTTTTACCAGGTTGGGAGAGCCAATATCAAAATTTACCTCCTATAGAATAAAACTGCAAGCTGTAGATAAAGAATATCCCAAGCATTTTCAATACCACAGAATAGGTAAAACATGGCTTGTGCCTGTTCTTACAGTAGTCCCAAGTAATGTATAGCTTTGTCGGGAAGCTACATGTACATGTATGCCCATCATGTTGTATTTCTAGTTCCATCATCTCACCCTGTCTTTCACGGGGTACTGGTAAACTTACCTGTCTACCACCGGCATGAGCCTGCAGTGTCTGGAAACGGCAGAGTCACGTTGACAGTAGAAAGGTGTGTTCCCAGCGCCCTCTGAAACCCCGGGTAGGCTCATCCTGTCGTTAATTTACAACGTGTTGATATTCTGGCATGAGTCTATCTCGTGATTGATAGACGTGATGGACAGAATGTGTAGCCTTACGTTCACATTTGGATCTTTGGAAAGGATTAGATCCTGAGCTAGATCAGTGGCTCACTCTAAGGGTGCTTTCAGATTCAAACGTCGTACTAACTGGGTCGGCCCAATTCTTCGGGGGATTCTCGCTGTTTAAGTGCAAACAGTGGAATCAGCTTAATCAACACACGATAATTAATTACCCCTAACTGCTCGAGGAGGCATGTCAAAAAATTAAGCTGATTCCACTTATTGCACTTTAGCCAGATTCCCCCAAAAAGTTGGACCAACCCAGCTAGTACGATGTGTCAATCTGAATGCGGTCTAAATGATCTCAAACAATAAAGGAGGAATTAGAGGTTGAGAGGGACGTCATGGCAGATTATAATTTTGAGAGGTGGTTACACTTTAGTTACTTAAATATTATAGGCCGTATCCAGAACAGCGGCCTAACTAGTCCACGGATCTAATATGGCCGACCCACTTGAATACTTCCCCACTGGGAATCTGTTTAGTGTCTATTAGCGGATTAGACGGCAAGCTTTTTAGTCGGTCGCCATATTTGGCCCTCGGACTAGTTAGTCCGCCGTTCTGAATGCAGCCATAGTGAGCACATATTTGGTATTTAGAGTGGGAATGTCATGGAACGAAATCTCTCCAAAATAACGTGTGAACACAACTTGATATCTCTTGGCAGGTCATTTAAGCATAATGTGATTTATAATTATTGTCAGTTATTCTCAGTGGTATATATCCCAAAATCATTAATCCTGTGATAAATCATGACCTAACGATATCATACAAGAAGCTGCAATGGTATTATTTTACGTTCAGTGTCTTCGCGCAGTCTGGTGATCTGAGATATGACTTCGAACGTGTGTCTCATTCCACCCCAAGCTTCAGAGGACACGGGAAACTCACATCTCTTCATCTCTATCAGCATGCCTCTACCTCTTCTACCAAGTATTATCACATATATATATATATATATATGTGGTCTGGGTGCTCAAGGTGTTAAAACATCCTAAAGAAACTTCATCAGTTTAATATATATATATAATTGCTGCGTTAATGGGATGGCGTAGCTTTTAATTCCAAATTACATAAATTGAATGTCGCAAATAAAATGGTGCGTGGAAACTTGGTACGGAAGCACTGAGAAGCTCAGGTTTCTAATTGAGCTATTTCGCGAGAAAAGTTTATAAAAACTATCGTTTAAAAATGGAGATATACTGTCTCCCTTTGTTACAGTGACAGTAATACCTAAAAAAAAAAACACCTAAAAATTATATCTGGTTTATGGAAGACGACCACATGAAAGTGTTTATCAATATATATATATATTTATATATCTTAAATGTTTTTTCTTCAATTACAATAAATAATAAACAAACAATATGGACTCCGGGTAATATGTTGCACGAATTTAAAAAACTGTCAATATAGCAAGATAAATGAATAAACACATGAAATATAAAAAAACTGCACAAAATATTTTAAATATAGTTTTTTCAATTGGTACTTTTTATTTACTTAGTACTGCCTCACGAAAGCCGACATGGCGCGCACGAATGCTGTAGTTGATCCGAGGTCGATGCGATTGGGGATAGATACTGCGTTAGATCAAGGGCCATGAGCATGGCCCAAACATAAACCTAAGAAGCTGACGGGTGATTTCTGTGTAGAACGACAAAATGATATCAGGGGCTTCTAAGATAGTACATGAAATTACAGTAGCAGGCTGCTCAGTGACTACGACTACTACCAGCGCACTCTGTGGTCAGAGAATACCAGTTAAGTGCAATGGTCTGACATGTGGTCTTCGCCTGATTTGCTTTACAAGGAGAAAAGTTACAGGTTTTTTCCTTTTTTTTTTTTTTTTTTTTTTTGCATATCGGTAGACTAGTGAGGTTAGTGGTTTTATGCTGGCTTTATAGTCATTAAACGTTCAAGGTGACAGAGAAATAGATGATACTCGTTTCGTTTGTAGATAGCCTATAGGCCTAGTGTTATTCTGATATTTACATTTTACTTTATCTATGCGAAATCCGTTCGGAATGATCTCAGTCACCATTTCTGGGATGCGTTTGCTTAGAATAAAACGCAAACACAAGGAAAAACTATACATGTGCGTGAGACGAGTAGTTTATTTTTCATTATGCAAATTAAAAACATACTGTATATATTTCTCTGCCCATATCGTGTCATCAACATTTCTACTCTACCACAATCTGCTAAGCTTCCGATTGCAGCCGAGATGATATGTCTTTCTTCCTCCAGGTGGCAGTATGGTACAGTCTGGTTTGTCAAACTGGGTGAAAACTACTCAGATAAATCCATGTAGTGGACCATATCAGGATAGCCAGTGACCCACATAATGCCGTTTCATTCTGGGGTGGGTTAGGGTCTAGGATTTATTTTCTTCTGGTTTATTTAGAAGTATGTTTAAACGCCAATGCGCCCTATGTGTTTTTATTTTAGTTATTTGTAAAATGATGTTTCTCCTGTGAGACAATGGTCAGTGCTTAATAGAAAAGGCGCCCACTTCATTCTGCCTCCTCCCCCATGAATCCACTCTAATCTACTCTTGGACCTACTCTGAAAAGAGTTCTCACTTATCACTTATTCAGTTCTGAGATATACGTAGCAGGGAGTGGATGCAAGGCCGTCTCGATACTAAGTATAC